AGCAAATGAAACTTCGCAGTTCCACTCCGGAGTTGGGCTTGTGCCAAAACCTCGTAAAGATCCTTTCTCGGTTACTTAAAAAGTCCGACATAGGCTGCCGCAATTAAAAGTTCCACTGAGGTGGACCGGAAATGGGAGAAAAAAAGTCAAACAAAGCTCTAATTGGTGGCCGCTACAAATTGGCTTTATTCAATCATTAAGCTGAGACCAGAGATGATTAATAATTTTAGTACTTGTTGAGAACAGCGTTTTTATCTTGTTGTAGGGGAATGTCGTCGATTCAATAATCTTATCGGAAATAAAAAAAATGACAATAAGGTCAGTATAGCTTCCTCTTTATCGGTAAAATAATTATTTACGTTTCAACATTAATGATTAGTCGTTTGAAAATAAAATATACAGTACGCGCCGTTTTTGAAACATCTGCTTGTCAAAGAAAATACTTCCTCGAATACTGATGCAAAATTTACAGGGGACATATGATAAAATTCTTGTTGTAACATTTATGCATTAGTCCCTTAGTCCGTGGTACAGACCCTTTTTTTTGTAAACATTAACAGCGGAATTATTAACATCCGCCGGAAACTTCGTAAAAAGTTTCATCTTATCGTAACCTACAACTAATTTATTTAAGAAAACTCTTGAAATTCGGGCGTTTTCAATCTGGAGAGGGCCAAACTTTGTCTATTTAATTAAGTACTAAAAACTCGTAAATCCACATTTGCTTCCTACTTGGATCATAAGATAAATTCATAACAAAATCTAGAAAAAATGTGAAAGCTAAAAATATTGAGCTGTTTGGCGTAACCTACACCCCCAAAATTTCAAAATAACGAGGTTAAATAGGATAAACTGCCCAATATTTTTGAAGGCCACCTTTCTTTATCGATTTTGTGATCAAATTATCTTACGATCCAAGTAGAAAGTAAATGGGTATTTACTAGTTTTTAGTACCTAATTAAATAAATAACATTGCCTCCCTCCATATTGAAAACGCCCCAATTCCAAGAGTTTTCGTAAATAAAATAGTTGTAGGTTACGAGGAGATGAAACTATTGACGAAGTTTCAGGAGGATGTTAATAATTCGATAAAAAGGGGTCTGTACCACGGACTATCTAATGTTACTGATATACCTTTAACCCAAATCTGACAAAATCTTTTTTAAACAATAAGTGTGTAAAAGTATATATGTTTAAGCATGCGATTTAGAGGATGTAATTTGATAAAATTGATATGGAAATAGAAAGAAAATCGCAAAATCCTTTAATATTTCGTCAAAATCCTATTAACAGTAGCAAGTGTTGTGCATATCACAGAAAATTTACTACATATATGGACAGTTGTATGTTAATTTTATATATAAAATTATATTTTTGTGGCTGTTCGGTAACTATTAATCCTAAAAAACCAAGGTCTAGAAGAACCGAATAATTTCTATTGTACTGTTACCCAACTTATTTCGATTCCTTTCAGTCAATATATTATTACAACCAGAAGGTTGAAGTGGTGTATAACCTGTGATTCACCAGCACTTTTTAATATTCAATGAGTTGATTTGTATTTTTCAGCAATATTAAGTACTATTTAGTCAGTGATTTTCTTGGTAAACATAGTCAATTTAATGGGTACCGAAACCATGTACTATTTCCTTTCCACTAATTTGATCAGAAAATCGACAAACGAGGTAGCCTACAAAAATAATGGGTCGTTAAGCCAAAATATCTCTTTATTTCGAAATGTAGAAAGTGGAGATTACATCAAACAGTCCAATAGTTTTGTGAGTCTCCATTGTTATAGAATTTATGTTACGATGGTCCTATTTACTCGAAAATTAATCCCCCGCCCTCTCCCCCGGGCAGAAAAAAAATGTATAGCTTAAATGCGAGGAATGAAAAACAAAAAAAATATAAAAGCATATAATAAATTACATAAGTTATTTCGACACATGTAATAAAATAAAAGTTCACAAGGTTTGAATTGAAATTAGATTCCAGCCGCAGCTCTAAAACAACCCCCTGGAGTCTTCAATAGGTGTGCGTATTTTAATCATCCTTCCCCAACCACTAGAAAAAAAGAGGATTTAAAAAAAAGCTGCTTTCTATTAAACTGTTTTTAGATTGAGTTGGATTAAGTAGGAAATATTAGAGAAGGCTTTGAGTTCGAGCAAATGAGGAAATTCCTTTCCCAATGCTATTTGCCTAAGCTCATCAGGACCAAGGCGAGCTTTGAATTAAAAGGCCACCAGCTTGCCTACATTTTTGCCTTGATTGCTTTAACAGTATTTTTTTCTACATTTTTATATATCGAATTCTACATAATTTTTTTAATAGAGTTTCACTGGAAATATCTTAAGCTACTTTCCATTGAAATGACAATGTATTAGTCCGTTTTTTTACCACATTATTAACAACTCCGTGAATAAAACTTCGTGAGTAGTTTCATTTTATCGTACCCTACAACTTTTTTATATGTACGAAAGTACTCAGAAATGGGCCGTAGTCTGATTAATTTGATTAATTTAATGTAATAATAAATTCTCACGAAGACCTATCTGCTTTTTACTTAAATCGTAGCATAATTCGATTTCAAAATCGTGAAAAAATTATTTTATACAAAAGTATTGGAGCATTAGGTATACATATAACCTCGTTATTTTGATATGTTGAGGTTAGATGTCACGCAAACCGATCCAATATTTTTTCTTGATTTTTATAATAAAATTATCTTACGATTCAAGTGGAAAAAAAAGGTTTTAACAAATGTTTAGTACCATATTAAATTGACAAAATTTACCTATCTCCATATGAAAAATGCCCCATTTCCGAGAATTTTCGTAGATAAAAAAGATGTTGGTTGCGATAAAATGAAGTCGCTCACGAAGTTTCAGATGAGTATTAATAATTTAATAAAAAAAGTGTCTGTTCAGCGGAATTTTTATTACATATTAGCTAGCAATTATTGAACATTATTCGAATATCACTAGATTACATAGATATTAAATAGGACAATAAACTGACTGAATCAAGACCAAATACTTAATATTACATTAAATCTTTGAAAGATGTTTGTCCAAAAATAAACTCTCACTACTAAAGAACGTCCAATATATTTTTTTAAGTGAAAACTTCTTTTGGCGCGTTTTAAACTTTTTTAGTGGAGAGTGAGCAAGATTGAGCCATCAGACTCCTATGAGTAACGCTTGGGTAAAGTCAGCGGGGACGGCGACGACTAATTGAGGTGTTTTTGTATCTGGTTATTATTAAAATATTTCACAAATTAAAAATCAGACCTGTGTAGCATAAGCGAGGGAATTTTCAGCTCTTCATTCTCTTCTTAACGAGCTATTATCCAAAATTGTATCTTAACGTGGCTTTATTGAGTGTTAGAGAGGGGAAAAGGGAAAAAAATAGTGTCGAAAACCCAATTATAACAATTTTTGTTGAACATTTGGAATATAATATCTCAATATTTAAATACCATGGAGAATTCAGAAACCAGTTTGCGAATGTCAATATAGATAATTTTGATTAATTAGCCATAAAAATAAGCTGCGCTCTATAGAATTTCGACAAATTACTGACCCCTATGTTAGATACACTGACAGGCAAAAAATTCCACCCACTTGATTTTTTCATCTAAAAATATTTCTGCTTTAGATTGGTATATTGTATTAATGAATAAATAGGTAATCTTTTTGTTTGTTTTCAACCAATTCTGTACGGAGTTCCATTGAAATCCCAGCCCACACCATTAAGGAACCACGTTGGAAAGGTTGGCTCTGGGAAAAATTACAGGCTGCATATCTTTCGTTTCTTCTTCTTCACGCCCGTCTAGAAATCGAAGAGCGAATCTTGACTCATCTGTAAAAAGTACATCACTCCATTCGTCCATAGTTCAATGACTGTGTTCTCGAACAAAAGCCAGCCGTGTTACTCTGTGAGTTGGTCAACTCTGATCTTCTTACTGGACGAAACGCCATTAATCCATGCTCATTTAATCTACTCCGAGCGGTACGTTCAGAAATTTGCACACCTCGAACTTCTTCGAGCTGATGAATCGCTTGAACAACGGTAAGGTGCCGGTTGGTTTCGTAGAATTCTCAAAGTAAAAAACCGGCCATCCCGTGGTTCTTTTACCCTAGGCCGTCCAGAACCGGTCCTTCTATTGTAAGAACCAGTTTTCCAAAAACTGGTCTCGTAAAGTTTCATACGGAACTCCGATGGCATTAGCTGCATATCTAATGGAACGTCCATCATCAATAAGTACCACACCACGCGCAACATCCTCAGAACTAAGAATATTGAATATTGAAAAAATTAAAACCCGGAGACTAAGAAATGTGCTTCAAGAAACGGCACTGAACTAATGATACTGAATAAACATTTTGATTCCACACAAAGTAAACATTGGAATCTTGAATCATTTAATTGAATTAAGGATTAAGGGTTATTGTCCTCTATATTAACATTCCTAATTGTAAACAAACAAAAAGATTACCTATTTATTCATTAAAAACAATAGACCAATCCAAAGCAGAAATATTTTTAGATGAAAACATGAAAAAATCAAGTGGGTGGAATTTTTTGCCTGTCAGTGTATTTAGCAAATAGATTCCAATCAAAATCATCCATCATATATTTTAGTTATCATAAACCTATTGTATCATTTTTTGATTATGATACAAATGACCATCAGTCAATGCAAAGTTTACAAGAGTATTTTATACACAATTATAATTGTATATATTGTAAATGTTATTACTTTGTGAATATAGAACAAAAACAAATTATATTTCATATTATTAATTTCCACTTGGTGATGTTTTCACTTGCCTCTTGTGGTCCATAGAACACACCGCAGTTTTTTTTGAAGACCTAAGTTTACATACCAACCCTTTCCTGAGCTGGCCTTTAGTCTTGAGATGAAGCGAGGTAGGTAAGAAATAAAATAAACCAAGAACTAGTTTACTCTTAGGCTAATTAGAAACTGCCAGTGCGGTCTAGGCGTAGTTGTCTAGAATAAGTTAGTTTAGGTAAATTTCAAGACTATACTAACATTTGACCCAGAAATCCTAATAAATTGTTATCTCATGAAAATTTCTTGAATAATTGATAATATCCCACTTACGGTAGAGTTTGACGGTGCCATCCGCCTCCCCTAGATTGTTCTTAGAAGCGCAGGTGTAGATACCGAAGTCTTCTATCGACGCTGACCTGATGGTCAACTTCATCTTGCTCTTCACGGTTGACATTGGAACTTCTTCCGTCAATGGCTCGAACTTGCTTCCTGCAACATATCAATTCAATGTCTGTATGAAGTTTAGGCATTGTTATAATTTTTAGGTGGAAAACAGTTTTCTGTGTGTTAAACGATGGAAACAGAGAATTATTAAATTTTATAATAAATAATTGCTCATGAATAACTGAATTTCATTTTATTACACTATTTACAAAATATTTTTACTTACATAATATCTTAGGGGAAATATGACCCCTGTTCAAACCGCCATATAAATTACGGTAACTGATTGGCACCAAAATCACTCAACAACTAATTATTTATGTTTTCAATTACATAAAGTTTTACTATAAGAAGGACTTGGTTAGGGTGCGGTCAAATAAATATTATATATTAAAATAGTATCGTATTGGGTACGCTGACGTTTCTACCCACTTTATAGGTCTTCGTCAGGACCTGGTGTCAGGTACTGCAGAAGCAGTTGATATACTCGTGAAAGGATTATTATGAAGTTTATTTGTGAAGTTGACCATTCTATCAACTGCTTCCTGCAGTGGCCTCATACCAAACCCTAATGCAGACCTACAAAGTGCGTCGAAACGTCCGCGTAAACAATAAAATACAATTTTAATATATAGTATTTATTTGACCAACTCCTTCTCATATTATAATCACAGTAAACCATCTCTACACCATTAAGTTTTTTTACTGGAACTCAATTATAATATTGCAGTTTAAAACTACATAAATATCGATTTAATGTGTTAAAATATTTTTAAAAAGAGATTTTCGTACGGTGAACAAAGGAATTACTAAAAAAAAAAAAAAATACAAAATAGTTTAATACTACCTGACTAGCGTTTTTAAACAAAATAATTATCAATCTTGATTTAAAAGGAGTCGGCTCAAAACTATTACAGTCCTGACAAGGTGTTTATGTTCTAACGAGAGGTTTATATATTATTTTAACTTGAATGTTTATCGAAATTGAGGTTATAGGGTGGCGAACTGTTTAGCCCTAAGGTTGATCCGATGGTTAGGAGCTATTTGCCCTTTGAGCTGAAGGCAGCCACCTGATCAAACGCAATTGAACCCTAGCTCGCTTGGTTAGCTCGTGCTCTTTGATGATTATAGATTGATAAATGATCAAGGCTCAACTTGCCCATTACCGAAATTATCAGATGTTAATAATGCAATTTATCCAGCAACAACTATTCTTAAATTCAAGCACCATGCCCTCTGTGATCGGTTCAGGGCCATGAATCGGATAAGGGGAAAATATTTCGAATAAATAGTCTAAAATATAAAATAAAATAAATGTCAGTAAGGTTAGTGTATAAGATCATATGTAACTATATATCATATTTTTATTCTCTTTGAACTAAAGGTGACATGTTGTAGTCTGCAACTGCTTTAAGTAGACTGGCAAATAAAGAAACAGCAAAGGGAAAAATATATATGAAATTATATTAATAAATCATAAACAAATGATAGGTTTTGTTTGATCTTCTGTAAAAAAATTCAATGTTGACGTACGATCTTTTGCACTAACAGTAGCGATGTGATGTATTTCACATTTTAAGAAGTAAAATATAAAAGCTATATTTCAATAAACCTAAATTTCGAATTTATTCTAAGGAACCTTTGTATATTTTCTACTCCTCTGTTAAAAATTTAGGATTTTTCATTGATCAAAACCTCTTTTTGAATCACCATATTTCTCATATCACTCGACGGACAATTTCCACCCTCAAACTATTCCATCGCTTCCGCCATCTCCTCCCTCAACATACGCGTAGAGTCCTAGTTTCCTCTCTCATTTCCCCCCACTTTGACTATAGCTGTGTGGTGTATGATGGCCTCTCTGTGGAGCTCTGTGATAGACTGAAAAGACTAATGAACAGCTGCGTAAGATTTGTGATCGGGGCCCCAAGATACTCCCATGTTTCTCACCACTACGCTGAGTTAAAGTGGCTTTTCCCCTCCTTCCGAACACAATATTTCCTAGGTACGTTCCTCTACCAAATCATCAACAACCATCGTCCTTCTTACGCCTACAACCTTCTCCAGTTCAAATCCTCAGTCCATTCCCTGTCCACAAGATCTCGACCTTCTAACCTTTACATGCCTTCTGACAGATCTGCCTCATTCCAAAATTCCTTTATTGTTCGCTCTGTCAATTTCTGGAATTCCCTCCCTATCAAAATTCGACATTCCCCATCCATATCCACATTCAAAACCCTCCTATTCCAATTCCTATCCCAAAACAGTCAGATAGTTGCTAACCATTCGAGCTGATTTTAATTGAGAATTTGATACATTTTTATTTTTTAATTCTTTATTTTTTTCGTAAAAGTGTACACTGGTCTATAAGAGCAAACAGCTGTAAGTGTCTTGTCATAGTATTAATGGTTTTGTATATAGTTTAGTTTGTTTTGAATATAGAATTTTTACCTTATACTTTTTTTTACATTTTTTTTTTCGATTGATTTTATTTTGGCCAGATGTAATATATTAATTTTGTTATTCTCAAGGGACTGTGCCGCAGAATAAAGTTATTTTTCTATTTCTATTTCTATTTCTATATGAAAATACAAAGGATCCTTAGAATTAATTCGAAATTTAGGTTTATTGAAATATGGCTTTTATATTTTACTTCTTAAAATGTGAAATACATCACATCGCTACTGTTAGTGCAAAAGATGGTACGTCAACATTGAATTTTTTTACAGAAGATCAAACAAAACCTATCATTTGTTTATGATTTATTAATATAATTTCATATATTTTTTCCCTTTGCTGTTTCTTTATTTGCCAGTCTATAGCGATGTGATGTATTTCACATTTTAAGAAGTAAAATATAAAAGCCATATTTCAATAAACCTAAATTTCGAATTTATTCTAAGGAACCTTTGTATTTTCATATACTAAGGTTTGACGGAATACTTTTTAATCGGGTGCCTCTTATAGGAAAAATAATGAACGAATAATAATATGATGATAAGTAAAAACAATAATAGTATGATTTGTCCTTAAAAATTATATTTGCTTTAGTAACTAATGCATGTATGAGAACTGTTTATCATTAGAGCATTAAGGCAAATAGAGGCCGTATCAATTCCTTATATTTTACAGTCACTATTTTTATTCATCACTAAATACCCATATACACATATTCAACTTAATTTTATTAAACTTAGGATTCCACCTGGACAAACATCCAACTTGGAATCCTCATATTAGACTGAAACGACAAGAAACCTCTCGACATTTCCGATTACTTCAGTACTTACTAGACAAACTCTCTAAACTTCCAATTAATTAAAAAAGACTGCTATACATGACTATAATAAGGCCTATTTGGACTTACGGAGTTGAGCTATTGTGCTCCACAAAACCATCGAATTCCTCTCGTATCCAATCCTTACAATACAAAATCCTTCGTAAAATCCTCAATGCTCCATACTTTGTAACAAATAAAACCATTATGAATGGACCTTAATGTTTCTCATGTTTCAGATCTGGCCCAATCCCAGATACCTATCCTTCCATAATAAACTTCAGAATCATCCCAACCCTCTCGTTTCTAACCTTGCTTCCTCTTCGATTTCTGATAACCCTCTAAGGCGTCTGAAAAGAAGATGGGCCCGTAATCCCCTAACATAGACATACCATTAGAGTACTACCATTAGATAGTTTCTCAACAAGTGTTTTCACGTCATTATATCCATATGTTCAAATTTACTAAATGTATTTCTTTAATACAGTTGTAAATATGATTAAGAAATAAAAAAAAAATTATTAATTTTCAAAACTTCAATAGTTAAATATCAATAACTCTAGCGATTGATTAATAAATAACGTGCACAAATGTTTGGGCTACAGCAACGTCACGGAGGCCAAATGCAGCCTAAAGGGCTATTTATGGCCTACAGTACAGCTCCATAATTAATCGATACAATAAATATGAAGAAAAAATAGTATACGTTAAATTTATTAATTGAACAATTATACTCATCAATTATAGGACAACAAAGGATAAAATTATGTTGTTTTTAGGTATTACCAGTTACTTATGATTTAATGAGTTATTACTATTATATTAATGAGGTTATAACATGAATCCTAAACGTATTGTTTTATTGAGAGTGAAATTAGAAAAAACAAATAAACTTAAAATTAAGATATATGCTTGACACATATATTCGTGAGTTTGTGTGGAGAATAATATTTGAAGATTTATCTATATGTCAAAATATTACAGGCAATGAAATACTTTCGGCCTCCAGAAAATTAATATTGTTAAATATTTTTTATCCTCAAAGACAACCTATTTTGTGTTTATCTATTGTTAAATATTTATTTTCAGTACAGCATTTATTCTTTTCTGATATATGATTTCTAAATAATACTTGATATTATACTAAAAGTAATTGTTACTAAAAGTGACTGACTACCATATTTACTTAAACCAATTCGGCCTTATGGTTTAAAATTTTTTAAATTGCGAAAAAGAAAAATATACCTTCATAGATCTCTAATATTACTTATACAATTCAACAGATCGAGTTACCAGAGCCAAAAGTTTGCGAAATAGTAAAGAACCAGAAAAATCAATTTTCTGGCAAATTACACTTGAAAAAATAACTACTGTACATGTGTTCCGACGTTCAGCGATTTCTTTGTTTCGCTTTGGAAAATCGCGGTCAGTGAGTAAGAACCTTTGCTACCTAACTATTGTTTTTAGGTGTGAATGTGTTTTATTTATTTTGTTATCATTCGGCTAATCTGTTATTTTACTTATCTTGTATATTACTTTATCTTTTACTTTTCTTTTTTTTTTTCTTTCCCTTCTTACTTGGTTATTTTTATTTATTTTCCTTTCTTATGTACATATTGTGTGAATGAATACTACAGCCCAAGTACCAATGCCCTTCAGTGTGGAGACTGTATTAATACTCAATAAAACAATTTAAAAAAAAACAAAAAAACTATCGTTTTATGACATTTGACTTTGTAAAATTATGAAGCTTCGTTCTAAAAGAAACCAGACTCGAAGAATCAGTAAGTTGAATCACAAAACAATTGAATCATGTTTCTGATGTTTACCAGCGAATAATTTGACGATTATGTTGAAGGTCAGTGTTATTCAAGGATTTTTCGTTTTGATGTTTTTTCAATAAGAAAAAATAAATTTATGTGCATAAATACGATGAGCGTTCAATGAACAATTAAATGGAAAAAAGAGATATATATTTTTTTAAATTAAAAAAAAATAATGTAGAATTCCATTTCACTAGTCCTAAAAGGTTTCAGGAATGAACTGTTGCATATTCAATGTGGATATGAAATACGTGACAGGAAATTCTCTTTAGAGTCAGAATTCAAAAGCTGTTGAACAGCCAGGCTCACAATGAAAACAAGACGGTAAATCGTGAACTCCCACGAAATTTACATTTGCAAAACAACACTAACAAGAAGAATATTAATAACAAAGCACAATGCGAACACGAGGGCTAAAAGTGCGGAGTGACATCTTCCATCAATATGGTGAGCCCCATCTCTCTCAAACTGCATTATGTTCTGTTATCTATTAGACTAAAACTCTTTTCGTGTTGTGCGATTTAAGGTTAGTGTAATATCACCAACATTTACCGTCTGAGGCAGTAAGGGAATTTTATTGACTTTTAACGACGGACATGATAACATACAGTGCTTCCTCTGCTTTTAGACTTCGCAACGAAGAGAAGGTAAAGAGAAGTATAGAACATAAAGAGAATTGAAGGAACCAAGATACTAAATTTTTCTTGTTATTTATTTAAGCAAAAAAAAAACAACAACTGATAAATGAAATATTTTGTCATTCAAATAATGGTAACTAAATTAAGAAAGATAATTATTTGTAGTAAGCAGATTGTTATCTAACCTAATAATTTCACTACAAACCTTCCTCGTGTCGAGGTAAGCTAATGGCTATTACATTTGTGTGATGGAAAATGTTCAAAAATAAAGATAAAAATATGAGTTAAAATAAAATAATATTCTATATTCAGCAAAAAAAAAAACATAAAGATAAAATGGAGATGGTAATATAACAGTAAACAAATTTACTGTACTTTAATAACACTTTCAACAATGAATAAAAGAAAATTTTTAGTTCTGGAAGTACAAAAAATAAAATAAAATAACTGCCTTTAAATGTTCAATAAACTAAAGAAGAGAAGTATATATATGTAGCTGAAAATAAAATGTCCTTGTATTAATTATAATAAATAAATTATAATAATGAAAAAATGTTTATAGCTTGCAGCTTGATTTTTTGAAAATAATTCCTTATGCAGGGTAATCGGCTGAAATTTAGAAATGTCATATAATATATTCTAAGAGCTATATAGATACTTATTTTATTATTTGTATTTCAGTTATTTTGTATTGTAATAGGTTTTTTGGACAGATTTATTTTTAATTTATATGGACAATAAAGATGATTTTTTTTTCTATTTCTATTTCTGAAGCGATGAAGCCAGAAAGGAGTGTGAAATAAAGTATCCAAAATGTTATCCCAAATTTTGTCGTCAAATATTATTTTTTAATAATATTATATATTAACTGTTGTTAATATGTAAAATGCTACTGTACTTAAAAATGGAGGGAAATCATAAAATTCTTGGGTATGCAGATGACATATCTATCCTTAGAAGTAATAAAGAGAACATTGAGAAACTTGCTAAGATTCTAATAAAAGAAGTAGAGGAAATCGGCCTATAAGTAAATGAAAACAAAACAAAGTATATGATAATAAGCTAAAAATTCCACAGGACCTGCGTCGAATGGTTCCCGAGAGTAGAAAAATTCAATATAAACAGAAAAAAAATATATTATCTGTCAAATGTGCTGTGACTTATTTTTTTATTTGTACACCATGTCTTCGTTAATACTTCAAATATTGATATTCTTCATAACGTTCTCCTTTGAGGCCGAAACGTCAAGAAAAAAACACAGGAATTTTCGCAAATAAAGAAGTAGTAAGTTATTATAAGATGGCATGTTAACATTATAATAAAATGATTTCTACTAGTATTCTAAACTGCACAGTCCAAAATACTTCTAAAAATCATGTATGCACCTTGGTATATTTCAAATCACACCATTCACATTAACATGAACATTCCAACAGCGAAAATCTACATACATAACAAATACATCACATTTCATACGTCAACTATTAATAACCCTAATCCACTTGTCCTCTCTCTTTCTTCTACCCTATTACCAGGGGAGCCTCAAAGAAGACTAAAAAGGCAGTGGCCTCGATATCTGCATACAACATGAAAATATTTTCAAGGAATTTCAAGGAACGGACAGAACTAACGACAGCACATTTGCTAGATGCGTTCAAACGCAGTGGTAAATATTACGTAAAATAAATAAATAATCATTACTTAACATTTAAGGTATACATAAATGAATTCGCATGTTTCCAAAAATTTTTTTTTTACTCTTATATATTCCTAGATTCACTATTATATAAACATACAGAAGAAAACAGTGCAGTAAAGTAATAATGAAAATGTCAACCCAAAATCCAATAAAATCGGATGATTTTTTTCGATTTCGGGGATTTTTTGGGGAATTCAGGAAGCTTTCAAACAGTTACTTATAGAAGGAATCGAAAATTAGGAAGATTTTTAGTTATTCGTGAATAAAATTCTGAAGTCATCGTAACATTTTTTGCATGTTATTTTCGGGAAATTATTTTATATAAAGAAGTTAAAAGTCGTTATTGCCGTAATGGCCGTTTTGGTAGTACAGTCCATAACGGAAAAAGTTTTCTGGCCCCTATTTCGAAACAAAAACGCTGATGGGAATGGAATGTATGTAAAAACGCTTCTGAAAAAAAATTAAAGCAATCGGTGAAGAACTTTCGGAGATCAGCGGTTTTCAATAAACTAATATTTACATTTTTATTTATATACACCGACTTGGATTGTATTATTTCCCTTATTTCATTTCAGCACATTTGCTGATTGTCGACACAAGTTGACAGGAGCAAATAAATATTTAAAGACAAAAAAAAACAAAAAAAAAAAAAAACAGAATAAATATATACACTGTTCCCATTTTGTTTTATTGATAACACTAATGCTGGTCAATAGCTAATAAGAAAAAAAAAACGAAAATCTGTTGAGAAACAGGGGAAAAACGAACTGAATTGTTTTGCATTTGCCTATTTATATTATGATATAATATAATAAAATAACTTGGCTTTTTAAACAACTTCCATTTGATTTTACTATAATTAATCATTTTTTGTTAATTTGTAACTTCATTCGTATTAATATAACTTTTTTTTAGATTAATCAAGTTTCTAAGTTTCTCTATTTCACTTAACCTTTTGTATAAATTAAATCTACTTTTATGGTAGTGTTGTGGTTAGAGTAGAACACATTACCAGTTATACTCCTAGAGAATGTCTTCCTTAAGACCTTAAGAACAATATAAGAGAACTAGAACGGCATAATTCCAGAACTAAGTCACTTAACAACTAAGAGAAGTTTTCCATTGCCGTTGTTTAAGGTGTTAAGTGAGAAAGAGCGAAGCGTAAATCAAAAGAACTCTTTGGCCTTAAAAAAAAAAAAAAATGGAGAAAGGATAAAAGTGAAATAAGAGATTTATAACGGCTCTGCAGACAATGAAACAGGAAGGGAGGCTATTTAAGTTGGGGCGTACAGCGGATGGGAGGTTCAATGTGGTTTTTCTAAACAGCCTTTGAAGAGTCGGAAAAGCTTTTCATAATCAGGAAAAATTGTTTGTCTCGCGAAGGTTTTTCCAGCTCCCTGCCATTGTTCCCCTCTCCCATGCTCTCCCGCCCGCTTTCTTTTCCTTTCCATAGAGGCTAATTAGATTTCCACCCAGGCTCAGGAGAGGTGAAGAGCGTTTGATCGCCCGAGTCCACGGGATTGTTGAAGCCGAGACAAACGGCTCTTGCTAATTGAGGCGCTCTTTGCACTACCGATTCTCATTCCCAAAGCAAACGTTTGCTTAACCTACAGCAAACATCTTATATGCCTCCACTCATGTTTAACCTCCTTCCCTCTTTCTTAGCTTCTGACGAATTTAATAGAAATTGTACTAATCAATTATTACTAATAGTATTTGAGGAATCTCTGTGTTCTAACATAAAATCCAAATTTCATATATATTTTTTTAATAAGAATATTTATTTTCATATTCTATTATTTCACTGCTTCATAGTGAACCTAACTATAATTTTTTTTAAAGATTTTATTAAATAGAGATAATTCTAAATATATATATGTAAATTCAAATCCCTCAAATACAAGCCAACGGCCACAAGTTTTTCCAATATAGGAATCAGGACGTAAAGAGAAAAATAATGAACTTCTTAGGAATAAAATGATTTTCTAAATGATTCTTCAATTGATTAGTTTAAGAAGTTTTTACTGGTCCTTAATACCGTAATGCGGCTTACTGAGAGGGGCTGGGATCTCCTAGAGTCTTGCCTTTCCTTCCACGAGTTGGAAGAAAGACTTGGCTGGGAGATTTTGAGTGAATGGATTTTTTAATATTCTATAAAATTATGTGTGTATTTAAGTAGTTATTTTGATTTGTTTAGTTTCTTTGTGTTTATATACATTTACTTTTAGTAATATTATTTTGCTGTTTATTTATTGTGCAAAGTGTGAATGAGCTACTCTTATATCATTATTGCCGTTATTTTTAAATGTGACAGATTGTAATATATCTCAATAGCGTATTTTTCCAAAAAAAAAAAAGTTTGAAATACATTCCAGACAACGTTATTCCTGAAATATTAAAAACAAAGTGATGTGTATTAAATGATCTAGAGACATTATTTTCCTTAATTGAATAAATTTTCTAATAGGAGTATGTTTTTTTTCTTCCTAATTTTTTTTGTTCTTCACATTCTCTATTTAGATTTTTCTTTTCTTTTTGATAACTTTAATTCTGATGTTTTTTCTGTAAACTGTAGAATAGTTATTAGTCTCATGAGAATATTTCATGATTAAACGTCAGCCAACATCACCTGTGTTGTGGATAAATGTAAAATTAAAATAAATAAATAAGTCTGAAATATTTTAGCAGTATTCAGATATTGGTAATGTGAAATATTTTTCAAAACAATTGAATTTGTTTTTTAAATAACGAAATTCACGAAATTTTTACTAGTTTCGATTTGAGAGCGGTTGTGGCTAAATTGGCCATAAGGCATTATTTTAGAGAAAATACCATTGCATAGATAATCAACAGATCATTGTTTGAACCATACATTTTTTTGAAGATATTTTGTTTTTATTTCATTTAACCTATAAATAATTATGTATTTATCGAAATCCCTTTTTAATATCACAACCTTTTATTTTACATGTAAAACATTTTTATAAACACTTAAAAATTATTATTTAACCTTTCGGCTTTTAAGAGCCATTTTCAAAATGTTTTTCTCCTTTAAAAAACAAAATATTAGTATATATGTATATACTATACAACTCAATGGTAGGAATTGTTTAATTAAATGTGAAATTCCTTTTTCTCCATATCTCCATAAAAATATCTGTTTTCTTCCCATTTTATCAAAACATTCACCTTGTAAATTAAAAAATCCTTTCTAATGTAATAATGTGAAACAAACTTTTATTATTCCAAAACACTATATTATTTAAAAATATTTTTTTGGACGAAATTCATTTAATTACTGAAAAGAAATTCTGTTTAATTTCAATTTATTTTATTTGTCTTATTTAAAAATTCATTTTATCTATTTAATTTTGTTAAAAGTTATGCATAATTTTGGCTAATGTTTTTTTAATCAGATTTAAAATTTATCGCATTTGCTAAATTTTTCCTAATAGTTATTGCCTCTATAATAGTTATTTATTTTTAGTAATATTCATATTCCTAAAACTTAGAAGGTATAACTAAAAATAGAAATATTGAAAAATTTAATATATTTAGGACCGCAGGGAATTCTTCGCTAAACGAGACAGCAAACAGGAAAACTCGAGCGTTCCTTGACATTGAATGTCTTTGTCAAACAAAAGACGTTTTTGTTGGAAGTACCGTTAAAAATGTATGGACCGACTTAAAGGCAGCAAGACGTCTTTACGTGCTTTCTTTAATACTTTAAACTAACAGCTATTAGTAAAGTTTAATGAAATACTGTTTATAAGTTAGGTAGGGAGAGAAGTGTAGAGCTAAAAAATCTGGTTAACAAGTAACAAAGAAAAATCTGGAATTTTTAAAATTCTTTTTTAAATTTAGTGAGGAAAAAATCTGCATTGTATATAGTGCGATAGTAAAGATCCAACTTTCTACTCTTAGGAGAGATGGATTTTGATGAATGAGGTGTCAAAAAAAAAAAAAGGAACAGAGATGTATCCAATCTCACGACGACTTTTCTACCTATTTCAGAAAAGTTTTTATATCTTTAAATACGTCCATTTACAAAAAATAAATAAATAAAATTGAATTCGATTTATTTTCCTGAATATTGATAAAGAAAAGATTTTAATAAGATTTATTTGATAAACTAAAGCAATGTAAACCGGCTTGGGGTAGATCAGTGTAAACATTTCAATACTCTCTAATATTGCTAAAAAAAAACTTTTTGCCATAGCTTAATTTTGTCACACAATAATTTAGGTTAAAAGTAGAGGAAATAGTGAAGCTTGAGTGATGAGGGCGACAGATTTTCTTACTTTCACCTAGTTTTCTTTTTTCTCCCTCATTCACCCCTTACTAACACCAGGATATGAACCCATAGTCTTACATTGGAAATTGAATAGCTGTAATTTAATTAATAGTTGTCCAAAATGAACGATTTTTATGTAATTTTCATCACTTTTCAAGAACAGGATAAACAGTGTTCTTCGAGCTCTGGGGGCTCGGAAACGTAAAGATCTGTCGAAAGCCGCAGGGATAATAATACAGGGATAATAATACAGGGATACAATAATACTTGAATAAAATTATCCCTTTTTCTCATTTAATTGTGTAATTGAAATAAATTGTATAAGAGCCAATGTAATATTTTATATATTAAGGTATAATAGTAATGAGCCTTAACAATTCTCCCATCTACGTTTCACTCTACGTAATGGAAGGGTTTTATTTTATAATTAGGAAAATCAAATTGTGGCATAGGCTAGAACATATACTTTACTAAATAATATAATAATAAGGAGCACCAGAAATCATCATGCCACCTGACAAAGAGAGTATTGAAGGTAATACGTTATTGTTATTACAGTAGCTTCGTAGTTTCTTTCTAGGTTTATTAAAGAATTCTCACAATATTTACAAATATTCACCGAATAACCAGTATAGTGTATTATAACATAGTAGTGATAGTTTTGAAATAATACAACGCAATTCTATAAATTTGAAGGAGATAAAAAAAAAATGGATGATATCCCATAAATGTTTTCCTGACCAATAGAGACCTCTTATCTTCCAGAAGCATACAAGAGCTAACCCTATTCAGCATTTGGATTGCAAAAGTTGGGAAACTACCGAGATAGCGAGCGGTAGGGGGGCCCCTCCCTATTGTCAGGTCAAAATAGTTTTAAACCGAACAAAGGGCACCAAGTGGTTTTTCAGGAAGGGTGACGTTCGGGGGAGTATCTGAAGGACCCGAGGTCGCCTGGAATTGGAGTATCTCTTATCCAGGAAATATACTAGTGTCCATCGGGTATCGCTGAGGAGGGGGGAGGCTGTAGTAAATATCTCTATTAAATAGATTTTTACTTACTTAATAAAATTCATGATTTATTGAATAAATTAAAATGTAATGTATTATTTATATATTTCTATAAATGAACATATAGCTCAAAAAATACATAAATACTTAGGATATGAATGGAAAAACCCAAATCATGAATCCACGAGTCTCTAACATACAGCTCTAACATATTCTGCTAACGTTTCACTAATTCATTCATTATCAGAACATATAAAAGATCACGTATGCGCATGAAGAAAAAAAAAATAAAGAAAAACATGCATCTAATAAAGAACTCATCCAAAACGGGTTGAAACTGAAACTGAAGGAATACGGGAGGCCACATAAAAGCAATAGAGGAAGGTTATATTAAACATCTGCTTAGAAGAGATGGGAATTTAAAAAAATATACATGCAAAAGAAAAAATAATAATAATATAAAAATTTGTTTTAAAAAAAGAATAAAAATTATTAAATGAAAAGAAAATGTTCCAAGGAATACATATTTTTTACTCATCTCTTCTAATCAACTGTTTGATATAATATTTCTCGCGTTTTTCATAAGAAGTTTGTTTGTTTGTTTGGGATTTAAGTCGTAAAACCATTTAAGGCGTAAGGTCATCAACGCATGTGAGTCAGTTAAAATTGTAAACTCTTTAAAGAGAAAAAAAGAATATTCAAAAAGTAATAATAGATAGAATAATAAACGAAAAAGATATTTAAAAACATATAACAAATGAAATATATTAAAAAAAATCACAGTAAAATAAAAATTATATTTATTTCTACATTTTATTTAACAGTCAAGGATTTTAAGAAAATTTATCGCTGTCATCAACGCATGTGAGTCGGTTAAAATTGTAAACTCTTTAAAGAAGAAAAAAAGAATATTCAAAAAGTAATAATAGATAGAATAATAAACGAAAAAGATATTTAAAAACATATAAAAAATGAAGTATATTAAAAAAAAATCACAGTAAAATAAAAATTATATTTATTTCTATATTTTATTTAACAGTCAAGGATTTTAAGAAAATTTATCGCTGTTTTATGTTTGATTCGTTGTTGCATAATACTGATGATATATCCGGTTTCAGAATTCATCAGTATGTATTTAGATGGCTTTGTGAGATGTATTTATTATATAATCATATTCTTAGTTCTTACGCAAGCAGATATACATTTTCCGTAGCTATTTTAATAAAATCCTTCATCTTATTTAATTTATCTAATTATTTAATATATTTCTATTTTCTTTAA